ACTACTTCTAAGAGGTGTAATTTTTTGTAACTAAAAATCCCATTAATGAAAAGTTGCTTTTTGTTTTCAAACACTGTTATTTATTGCTTTACGTACATGCATAATATGGCTAAAGGGCCTCCTATGCAAAGCACAGCGAGAAATTTCATCTGCTAAGTCTAAACTAAGTGAAAAACTTAGTAGCTAAACAAATGTCTAAAAGACATTAGGCTAATGGCTGGATGATAATCTATTTTGTAAATCCGTCTGCTCCAATATGAGTAAGGCGTCCGATGACGCCCATTCGAGTGGAATTGTCGTAGAGGGCATATCTCATTTAGGTGGCACATTGCTCTATAAACGCATACAAACGGCAAATATTGAACGATCCAATTGGCCAACTCATAGCCGTCTGACCTGGTTAATCTAAAGATAGAGTACAATTAGATTGCAAGTAACCCAAACGGTACAAAACCGGTTGATCCACTAGGTGGACGGTTGTGTACATGGTTTAAGGCAAGTACTACTGTGATTGATTGACTTAGGAACATCTCATACTCTTTAAAGTGTCAAAAGTTCCCAAGTCAATCAATCAAGTTCTGAAACCAACCACGCATCTGCCCAGGGGCATGTACATCCGGTTACCGCATGCTTTTAATAAGTTAGGAAAATTCACAAACATACCCAAAAATCAAAAATGCAAAAATTCAAAAAATTGCAGTGCAAATTGAACAAAACCGACTCAGTCGGAAACTTCATAAAAACTGACCAAAATGGTCGTGAGGAATAGTGCTAATAGGATGACCATCCGGGAGAAATAAACATTGTTAAAACTACATTCAAATATGCGGCACGCAGGCTAGAGAAAACACTAATGGCATATTGCCGTTGAATAACCTATAGCTGCTGGGGAGGAGGCAGCGTCTTGGATTGATTAGGCGGGAGATCAGCTGCAGTTTGCTCTGGTTGATCCTGGTTTGGGTCAACCGGAGCTAGTTCCTTTGTCTCTTCTCGCTCTTCATCTTCCACGTCTTAGGCAATCTCGATGCCTTGGGCCAGGGCTCATTCTTTGAAAGGAGGTGGCGTTGTCTTCTTTAGTTGTTTGACGTCATACACCTTAGTGGCATACTAGTACTTCAGGTTGAAGAACTCCCAGTCGGTGTTAGGGTGGACTAGATCCCAAGCCATTTTCAGGTGAGCCTCCGTATCCCTCTCATTCTCCTCCACCAGCCAGTTTCACTCCTTGGAGATCTTCTCTTGATGAGCATTCCACATTTGAACGATGTCAAGCTTGAGCCAGATGTTTACTATTGTTAATGGTAAAGAGTTTGTAGTTACTAAAAATGATATATGCGATGTCTTTGTCTTGCCTATGAGTGAGCTTGCCGTTCCTGAACTTCAAAAGAATCCTGAAGAAGGTAGTGTAGATAAACGTATCATTCAGTCATTGAGACTTGATTATGGTCTTACTGAGAAGCAACCTCTGCATTTGTCAAAAGTGGAGTCTAGGATGGTTGATTTGGATGATGGTGGGGAAGAATTCAAGAGATGTTTTGTGCTTCATGCTATGTCTAGCTTCTTAGCTCCTACTACTAATAGGACTGTTTCATTGAAGTTGCTGAAGGCTGTTGAAGAAGTTGATGAAATCAAAACATTTGATTGGTGTTCATATGTTTTGAAAAAGTTAAAGAAGGTTGTTGTGAAGTATAAGAATGATGAAAATGCTAAAAATGTAAGTGGTTGTTTGCTAGGTTTGCAAATTATGTATTTTCATCGATTAAATTTTCAAGGAGAAAAGGAAAGTAGTACCCTTCCTTTGATTCAACATTGGACTGATGCGAAGATTAAGAAGCGGATCAATTTGGAGATCAAAGCTGGTGATTTTGGGCAGGGACTATTGGATACCCTTACATATCCTGTTGCACAGCCTCAAATTAGGGATCCTGTTGTTAAGCAAACTTGTGGTCAGGGGGCTTCTACAAGTGGTAGAAGTAGCCGCATTCTTGCATTTGAGCTTCCAGAAAATGTGATGACTGATGATGAAATTAAAGAAATTTCAACTGATGTAAGTGTTCTTTTTTTATATATATATTTAGTTATTATCTCTTTATATGCACTAAAGTTACCCTTTATGTGCACGAAAGTTACCCTAAATATTCAGTTATAAGGGTTACTTTATGCATTTAAAAGGGTAACTTTATGCATAATAAAGGGTAACTTTATGCATTTAAAAGGGTAACTTTATGCATATATCATGAATTTTCATTTATTTTTTATTTTTATTTGTTACATTTGTATAGTTTCTTATTAATTCATATGTTTGCAGGCTGTTCATGAAACATTTCTTTTGGTTAAAAGAAATATGGATGTATTATTGTTGGTTCAGTCACAGGATTTTCAAGCCTTGAGTGATATGATTTCTTCTCGCAAAATTGTTTCATTATCCTCTGATGATGATGTTGCAGTTTCTCAAACTCAACAGCTACTCTCTGATCCTCATTACCTGAAGCTTTTAGATGGTTTAATTGAGGAGTGTAATAAGATGAAGTTTGTTCATGAATTGCTTCGTGATTTTTATGAACCTGAAGGTCATAACAATGATGTTCCTGAAGATGAACCTGTAACGAATAGGTCTGAGGATGATGTCAATGGTAATGCTGGGCCTTCTATAGAAAATGCTTCTAGAAATATCATCAGAGGCAATAAATCTTTGTGCTCACTCGACTGTGGGCCAGTAGGTGTGAATGTGCCTTTTCTTACACTGTTTTTGAGGGCTAATGCTCGGAATTTCAAGAATTTGCCTAAGTTACATTTGGAAATTCTTGATTATTGTTTACTGAAGGATGATTCAATGATGAGGAAGTTAAGTGTCATTTTTTATGATAATTATATTTTTATATGTTTTTTTTCCTTTATTTTTTTTAATGCTTATCTTATTTTTTATTATTGAAGTGAGAACCTTGTTACTTTTGGGATGAAATTTTTTAATTCCAAGAGAAGACATGGTGTCCCTGGTAGCTCCACTTAGAATTCGATGGTGCATCATTGATTGCTACTGTCTGTATTTGAATGAGAAGGCATGTTTTGATTCTGGTCCTCGAAAATTCTTCTTTGGTGTTAGGCAAAGTGTAAGTAATTTGATTTTTTTTTATATTTAAACACATTTACTTTATAGAAATATATAAACAAGTTCTCATACTTTTAATAGTTTGCATTCTTGCATGTTTGTGAAAACATTGGCAAAGGTGGAATTTCACAAGCTGTTAATGATTTGCACGATTTATGGGAAGGTTGGGTGAGCTATGAGAATCCTGAATGTGATATTATGGATGCTGAACTGGTATATTTCATGCTAAATTACTATCAAAACTTTAAAAAAGTTTTGTTTTTGTGTTCCTCTGTCTAAATCAGTGTTTTAATTTTTCTGTTTCAGATCTATTTTCCTATTCTTGTTGAGAATCACTGCATTTTGTTTGTTATTGATCATACAAAAGAGGTGGTATATTACCTTGACAATATTATCTGGCGTGATGATGCTCTTGAATATACCAAAGAATTGTCTTCACACTAGGTATGTTTATGTTGATTCATTGTTATGTTTCTGTTTACTTATTTTTCCATTAAAATTTTTTTTTTGTTTTTATTTTATTCTAAACTTTTATATTTTATGTCAGTGTGATGAAATGGGTGTTTTTCTCGGAGAAATAAATCATCCAAAGAGTTCTCAACTACCTTCTTATGGGTTTCAAATTGTTGAGTTGGAATGGAGAAAAGATAAAGTTGACAATTTGAACTGTGGGGTGTTTGTCATGACTCACATGCTCCATTTTGTTGGCAAATCGTTCAAATTAAATGAACTGAAAACAGTAATTATAGATCTATTTTGTCTGTAGTTTTTCCCTTTCTAATGCTTTTATTAATTACATATTGATAAGTTTTTTTTTTCTGTTGTGAGATTACTGGGAGAAAATTTCTGCGAGGTGAGATCTGTACCACACTGGTGCTGTGTGATTTGAATGAATATAGGAATGATGTGTTGTTAGAATTAGAGAAGTTCAATGAGAAGAAGAAAGATCCTGCTTATTGCCAGGGAATTGAATTGAGAAGAAAGGATGCAATTGCTGCAAAGAAGAAGAAAGAAAATGAAGAAAGAAAAATGGCAACTGAAGCAGAAGCAAAGGCAGAGGCAGAAGAAGAGAATCCCAAAGGAAAAAGGGCAAAAAAGAAGACAGATAAGTACACTCCTTCTAAAGGGTGAAATGATTGTTAGTTATTAGTTGATTAGGTCTAGGAGTATTTTTTTAACAATGAAAGAACTTAATGTATGTGCATATACATCAAGTTAAATGATGTAATTAAACTTAGTGGTTAGTTTTTGGTTCTTTTGGAATACTGATGTATGTGCATACATTAAGTAATTTGAAAGGTTCTTATGTATGTTTTTTATGGGGTCACTTTTGTGCATAAAAAGGGTTACTTTGTAGCATAAAAAGGGTTACTTTTGTGGGTAGAAATAATAAGTTTATACATGATAAGGTATACTTTTGTGGGTAGATAGGGTAACTTTTATGCATGAAAAGGGTAACTTTTATTGATAAAAGGGGTAACTTTTATTAACAGAAAGGGTAACTATTACCAAAGAAAAGGTTGATTTAGTGGATAGAAAGGATAACTTTTATGCATGAAAAGGGTCACTTTTATGCATGAAAAGGGTAACTTTTATTGATAAAAGGGGTAACTTTTATCAACAGAGGGTAACTATTACCAAAGAAAAGGTTGATTTAGTGGATAGAAAGGATAACTTTTATGCATGAAAAGGGTCACTTTTATGCATGAAAAGGGTTACTTTTATACGTTAAAAGGGTAACATAAGTTGATGTGTTCCAATAATTAAACATGTGCTAATAAAAGTGTCAATCACATTTTCATTAAACTAGTCATATAGTAAAAAAAACAAAAGAAAAATAGTTTAACATAACAAGGTATATTAATTTCGAAAAAAAAATGTTTTAAAAAAGATCTTAAAAGAGTCGTAAGTTAGGTGTCTTTGATCCAAATTCTGAATTTGGAGGTGGCAGTGCTGGTTTTCTTTTTCTCTTGCTTTTTTCAAGTCCTCCTTTTTCTCTCTTGCTTCTTCCTTTTGTTACAGCCCTTTTAGGATCAAGTATTATTGGTACACTTGTGCTTGTACTCGATGCTGAAGAAACGTCAGTATTGCTTTGAGTGCTATCTGCCACATCAGGAATGTTAGAAGAAGCTTCTACACTTTCTTTCTGATCAGCACTAGCAAGTAAGTCTTCCACCATTTTAAGATTGTTTCTGAAGCTTTCTTCCATAAATGCTCTTGTCTCTTCATTTTCTTGACTTTTTAAGATTAGATTGTAGTATTTCCTCATAATTGTTTGCCTCCATGGAATATATTGCTGTTTAGGATCCTGATTCTTCAATCTATCCCATGCCTCTGTTTTTGCAAACTTAGTCCATCTTTTTGAAACATACTTGTCTGGTATTTTTATTACTGAATGCAAATGTAGAATTCTGATGCAATGATAACATAACCATCCAGATGCTTCAAAAAAATTTCAAGTACACCATACAGTCTGGCTCTCATGTATATAGTTTACTTGATGTGCAGACCATGGCTTGTCTTCTAGTGTTACTTGATAAAGTAGGCATTCTTCATTACTGCCTAACATCTGAACAGTTGTTGCCATAGAGTATTCAAACTCCTCTTTAAAATCTCTAAAGAGTGATAAAGTGAAAACCTGTACATCAAAATCATGTAGCTTCATTTAAATTGCTATATATTAGGTGTAATTTATGTACTTGTCAGTTAACTTTTTACCTGTGCAACATGCTTTAGCATTCCAGACAGAGGCAATGAAGTGAATGCTATTGACTTGCTACAGGTAAACTCATCATATTTCTCTGTGCTTCTCCAACGATTGGTTGTCTTCTTAAATATGGTATAAAACTCTGTCAAAGTAGTTGCTTTACTTGCTCTGAATCCTATAGCATGATTAGTGCTTTCACTCCTTTGTGACGATAAGATCCCTGCTGAAAAGAAATCTCTACTAAGGGAAGGACACCATTTGTCTTTCAACTCATACACTCTTTTGTACCAAGAGTGTTTTGTGAACTCATATTTCTGCAACATTGCCTGCCACTTTGCTTCGAATTCTTGTTCTGTCACACACATCTTTAAGCACTGGTTGAATGCAAATTTGAATTCTTTGTCTTTTTTAAGAGCTCCAAATCTAGTTATGGCATTTTGCTCCAAATGCCATATACAAAGTCTATGCCTTGTATTAGGAATCACCTGCTTTGAAAATAAAGGGGTCACTTTATGCTGTTAAAAGGGTTACTTTATGCACTAAAAAGGGTAACGTTATGCAGCTAAAAGGGTAACTTTATGTGAAAAAGGAAAACTTTATTGTCAGAGCTCAAATCTGTAAGATGTCAATATAAATCTTTTACCTCCAGAATTGCATTTGCCATTGCTTGGTCCTGGTCAGTGAATATTGAAGTTGGTTTTCTATCCTCCATAGCTTTGATGAAGGTTTGTAGTAACCACACAAATGAATCTGTCATTTCATCCCCAATAAAAGCACATGCAAACATACAATTATGCCAGTGGTTATTTATGCCAACAAATGGAGCACATATAAGATTATATCTGTTGGTTATGTATGTTGTATCAAAGACAAGAACATCTCCATATATCCTATAGTCTTCTAGCATCATTGAATCTCTCCAAAAGATATTGCAAATTCTTCCTTCTTTGTCAAACTTCACTCTAAAAAAGAAGTTTGGATCCTCTGATTGTTCCTGACTTAAAATGTTCACTAAAGTTTGAGCATCTCCAGCCTCAATTTGTTCCATTCTTAACCTTGAGCAGAAATTCAGGTGATCTACAACACTATGGCCTACATTCTGTTCTCCTCCAGCCTCTGTAGCCATGTAATTGTAAGTGTCCATTGTAGTTAGACCTGAAGATTTAATTATTTTGATTGCTTCAGCTTTTTCCTCTGTCATTTTTCTTTCAGAACGATGCAAATAATGCCACTGTGGCTTTGTTAGCTCGTGGTTATGCTGAATAACATGAGCCACCACCTCAAACTGTCCTTCTGTATTCACTTTTGCTCTTATGCATGCCTTGCAATTCGATCTTGTAATGGCTACTTGTCTTGGCTTTCTTGTTTTTACATTTACATCCTCTTCATCAACCATTTCAACTAACTTTGTTTTCTTCTGACCTGAATGTATCTTTCCCTCAGCAGAACACACATAGTTTTTCTCAGTTACTATTTTTGTGTGTTGTTTGAATCTAGTTGTATGTTTTCTTATTGAAAACCCCAGTATAGCAGCACGTTTTTCATACAATTCCAAAATTTCTTCAAAAGTTTCTCTTACCACACCAACAAATGATCCTCTAAGATCTAAACCATAAGCATCAATTGGATTTGTATCTGTTATTTAATACAAACAAATCAGATAATAACCACAGGCAGCATCAAAAAGGGTAACATTCGTTTGAAAATAGGGTAACTTTTATGCATGAAAAAGGTAACATTTAGGCATTCAAAGGGTTACTTTTTGCATACAATCTGAATTTTCGGCATACAATCTGAGTGTAACATTTGTGCATAAATAGGGTCACTTTTAAGCATGAAAAGGGTAACATTTAGGCATTCAAAGGGTTACTTTTTGCATGCAATCTCAAAAGTTTTGCATTCAATCTGAGGGTAACATTTAGGCATAAGTACGGTCACGTTTATGCATGAAAAGGGTAACAATTATGTATTCGAAGGGTTACTTTTTGCATACAATCTAAAAAATTTATAGAAATTACCTTCATTGCATTTGATTTGGTTGTTTGTTCTAAATTGAATCAATTGATTTATCAGGAACCACTTGATTTTCTGCATTGTGAATTTCGTCTCCTGCATTCTCAATTGCTTCATCTGCATTATCAATTGCTTCATCTGCATTGTCTGGATTGATGAATATTGGTACGAATTCATCTCCAAAACAATTAGTTTCTTCTTCTTCTATAATCGATCGATTTAAATCGATTTCAAATTTTGTCTCAATTTGCCTCTGTTTTTGTAGCAATTCGTGAATGAGATTGCTGCAATTTGTTGTATCGAAAGTCGAATTCTCCATTGATGATCGATTTCTGCAATTTGTAAGTTTTCTAACCTTTTTTCTTCTCGATTGATGATCGTTTTCTGCAATTTTTGCGATTTCTCACTTTTTCTCTCCTCAATGGATGATCGAGAGCTGCGTTTTCTCACTTTCTCTCTCCTCCATTGTTGTTCTGCGTTTTTTTTTATTTTTAGGTATGAAATTCCGCGATTTAAAAAAAAAAAAAAAACAGTAAATGGGTTGCACGTGCGAAAAATCCGATGTACAGTCAAAATACTGTACACCGGGTACATGCAAATGGGATTGAAATACATAATTGGTATATGATGGGATATGATAATCTTTTCATCCATTAATTCTATGGGCAACTTAGTAATATTAGTTGTTTTCTTCCTTCATCTTCCCAATCCCCGAATATTAGTTGCTTTCTTCCTTCATCTTCCCAATCCCCGTCTCCAAATCTCCATTACATTCAGCTGCCTCCATTAACGTCTCCTCCACTCTCCCAATCTTCCTCTGTTGTCACAAACTTAAAGCTCCATTGCTTATTCGAGATGCAAGTTGAATTTTTTGCTGCTCTTCTAGCTTGAAGACGGGTATTCAAAAGATTTAGTTATATAATTACTCTATTCCCTCGTGTTATAAGTTCAGCTTACCCAGAAGAAAAAAAAAAAATTTAACAAAGAATTAGAGTATTACAATGGCAAACCAAAATTTGAAATGGGCCTAAAAATGATTGAGAGAAAAAAAAAATTAATAATGAAGATGCTGATAACACAATAGTACAACAAATCTGATATAAGCAGGCACAACTTTATACAATTATTGACGAGTGATTGTAAGTTATGCTGCTCATCGCCCACTACCACTATGATGGCGATGTTTGTCATCTCTATCCCTACCTCTTGATGAATAATCAGGTTGATCGCCCCTGCTACCATCTAAATCATTGCTGTGATCTGGAAAACGTCTACTTGAGTTATACGAATATGAGCTGTATAATCGGTGAGCTAAGGTATCTTCTGAATCCAAAGGATCATTTCTAACTCTATCACCTGCAGATCTTCCAGAACTAGGACTCCTAGGTGCAGAAACATTTTTCCTTGAGTTGTGGGATGGGGAACTATAGTCGTGGTCATTATACCTCGGTGTATACCTGGAAGCTCTGTCAAAGCCTAATGAATCATTGTCCTTGAAATCACGGTTGTTATGCTCTCGGCGGCGTCCCCTACTATAAGACTCTGCAGAATAATTTGAGTAAGCACCATCAACAAACCGATTCCGATCAGAATTGGAAGGTCTAGTTGCCCAAACTCTTTCATCTGCATCATTCGGGATTGGTGCATTTATGCCAGGAAATTTTACACTTATTTTCTGTGGTGTTTCAACATGTTCCACTTCAAGAATTTCACCCTCCTCTTGGCCCCCCTCCTCTTTGTCCTCTTTGATCTCCTCATCAGAAAATATGGTAATTCCAGAAGGCACATCCTCATCATCTGGCACTGGAATTTCAAATGTTCACAAGATTAGACCGTGAAAGCAAATAATAGATCAAAGAAGCAAAGTAATTTGAAATTATAATGCAAAAATAGAATCCTGACACAATTTTGCACCAACTCTAAGGCAAACTATCCATGGATAAGCTCCACAAGATTAGTGTGATCTCACATTCTGCAGATTTCCAAAGTAAGCTTTCAGCTAGCAGACATGAACACATAACTTTCAGCTAGCAGACATGAACACATAAATTTTCTTTCACATTATGAATAATTTGGACAGCTAATTAGTAATTATTGGTTTGTGCACCAATTAAAATGTACATAAAGTAAAAGAATATGGTCCTATTGAAAAGAACATCAAGTAAACATATATATAGTTCAATCTTAAAGAACATCAGTTTGACCAGGCACACCTCTAATTTATGTTTAGATGCAAGTGATTTTAACACTGCCACAAATATTTTCTTGCCACCTTAAAAAACTTCAGTGTCGATGTATGTTTCACAAATGGGAAAATGTAAAAGAAGAAAAGGAGAGTGCCAAATTCATTTTGGACTAGGTCATGAATTACACTTCTAAACCGGAGAAACTTCAAGGACCTCAAAGGATTTGGGATGTCTTGGTCACATGTAATTAAAGCTGTCTTCAGCCATGGTTGTGCTAGATATTAGGTCAGAAAAAACAGAGTAATTCAACAGAGCAAGAGAAATTAGCCAAACCAATGATAGATTGTATTGCAAGTCAGAATAACCACAATACAACTCCCTTCTTTCAAGAGGAAAGGATGCTCTCCAAGGAATATTTTCCACAATAATTTTCTAGATGATTTCCCCCAATACAAATCCCTCCTTAAATACCCAAAAAAAACTACCAGCTGTGATAACAAACTCAGCACACAAAACAAGGACTAACAAACTTATTTCCTAGATTACCAAATTACCTCTCCCTGTAACTAACTTCCAGCTCACTGTCCAGCTCCTATTTCCTTATCTGACTTCTGTTTGGGCCTTCTCCGAGCATATGTGAAATGCACTACTGGCCTGGGCTGATCTCTTGCAGGTTGTTAGTGTTTTTGTTTTCGAAGGTGATGGTTTCAGATTTAATAGTTTTAACTTGGTGGTTGTTAGCTTGAAAAAGACGATAGAAGCTTTGTGGTAAGACTCATGGTGTTGACAAAGGTGGAATAGCGGAGGCGGCTTAGGTACAAATGAAAGACGAGGGTTGGTGGTGGGCCTTGGTTGATGCCATGGGACAAGAGTGGGTGGGGGTAATTTGTCTTTTTCTTTTCTCTCTCCTTAATATGTGCTCCAAAATGAAATGCATCAAATTAAAAGAAATGGAGGATGTATATAACACAATATTCTTTCTAATTTAGCTGTTATTGTTATATATCTGTTACATATATCCAACAACATTATTAGTCCATATCTTTAACATATTTTATCGTTTGTATTTGTTTTTTTTAAAAAAAAGATGAACTTAAAGGTAATATTTACATTTCTCATCATTTACAATTTTCGTTTTATGCTTTGTTATATCTATATACTATCTCCTCTGTTCCCTTAATATTGCAACATGGGGAGGGGACACGGATTTTAAAGAAGAGAGAGATAGAGAGGAATAAAGATAAAGACTCGTGTAATGAGGAGAGATAAAACATATACAAATAGGGATATGTTGCAATATTTGTGAAACTTCCTAAAATCGTAATGGTTGCAATATTTGTGGAATGGAGGAAGTATATGTTACTAAATTCAAAATACATATCAAGTTATCAACATGTGTCAAAACCTGATATACATTCCAAGCTATTTACGTTCTCAATAGGAAAAATAAAAATAATTGTAATACCTGACCTACCCTTTGGTAGATTGTAGTTACCAAAAGATCAAACACAAACAAAAGGCCATCCACACACCCCCAATACCTATATTCAACATATCAATCACTATTACCATTAGTCAATTAAATTTCTTTTTTTGCATGACTTGCCTGATTTATCTCTTTCAAAATAAATGAATCAATTAAATTCTTGATAACTTACCAGAATGTTTTATTACTTCACTATGGAAAATTTGCAAATTGCAGCCATTTAAAGTTCTTATTTTGCAAATTGCAGCCATTTCAAATTTTTTTTGCAAATTGCAGCCCAAAAGTTCGTATAAATTGTAAATTGCAGCCCGATTCAATTTTTTCATCGGTTTACATGTTCAAAAATCTTCAATTAAGGTTTTAGGGGTCATTTTAGCCCTTAGGGACCCGAATTGAGCTCGGAATTAGCAAAAAAATAACGTAAGTGTCTCATATTTACAGTTTCCCACAAATCGATACAATTTTGTTATGCAAAACGAGATATTTACGTTATTTTTTTGCTAATTCCGAGCTCAATTCGGGCCCTTAAGGGCTAAAATGACCCCTAAAACCATAACCGAAGATTTTTCAACTTGTAAACTGATTAAAAAATTGAATCGGGCTGCAATTTACAATTTATACGAACTTTTGGGCTGCAATTTGCAAAAAAAAATTTAAATGGCTGCAATTTGCAAAATACGAATTTTAAATGGCTGCAATTTGCAAATTTTCCCTTCACTATATTCCCATAATTTCCACCCAATATATTTCATCATTTTTTACTCTTTCATGATGATGCCCACTTATATTATTAATCTTTAGAAAAATTTGCAAACTGCAGCCATTTAAAGTTAGTATTTTATAAATTGCAGCCATTTAAAACTAAAATTACAGCTCAAAAATGGTTATAAATCGTAAATTGCAACCTAATTCAATTTTTTCACCGGTTTGCATGTCGAAATATGTTCGATTAAGGTTTTAGCGGCCACTTTAATTCTTAAGGTTCCAAATTGAGCTCGGAATTGGCAAAAACTTAACGTAAGTGCCTTGCTTTTACCGCAAAAAAAAAAAATAGTTGTCCACAAATCGATACATTTTTGTTACACACACGAGGCACTTACGTTATTTTTTTTACTAATTCC